AGGGCTGAAACAAGCGCACATTGGTGGCAGAATGGCGGACGGTCTAGCTTCGGGTTTCACAAAAAACCGAGGTAGAGCTTCGGTTTAGGGTTTTGGGTTTAGGGTTTAGGGTTTTAGGGTTTTTAAGGTTTTAGGGTTTAGGGTTTTAAGTTTAGGATGTAGGGTTTAGGGTTTAGGATTTAAGGTCTAGGGTTTAGGATTCAGGGCTTAGGGTTCGGGATTTTGGATTCAGGGTTTAGGATTTAGGGTTTAGGGTTCAGGATTTAAAGTTTACGGTGGCAGTACGGATACCCCCCCCCCCAAACTTTGGCCTGGGTTTCCTCGTCGTCGCTCAGTGAAGATTATCTGATTATCGTGCATTGGGGTGGATCTTGGGATCCTCCTATTGGTGCAGGGTTCAGAGGATTAAGGATTGGGGTTCAGGATTCTGGGTTTTTGGGCTTCAGCAGTTACTTAGTGGTTAAGCAGATAGCCTTCAGCCTTGAAGGAGTCTATACGGGTATGATCCTACTACAAACACAAGTTTGAACCTCGTAGGCCAGCACTGGAACTCTAAATCCCGCATGCTAATTAATCCAAAAGGTCTCAACCTTTACATCAAAACTTTAAATCTCCAACCCTTTCCCAAAAGCAAAGCCCTTACATCTCCAACCCTACCCCAACACCAGAGCCCTGAACTCTCCAACCCTACCGCCAAAATCAAAACCCTTACACCTCCAACCTTACCCCAAAATCAAAGCCTTTGAATCTGAAACCCAAGCCCAGGAAGGATGGCAAGGATCCACTTCTCCGGGTCTGTGCCGCCGAAGCTTTAGGCTGCCATCGCCAAGAGGAGCTTTCGTTGATTTGTTCTGTTTTTTTGGTGGTTTAGGGTTTAGGTTAGTTTGTTTAGAACGGTTGTTAACTTCTGTTTTACTGAAACTCCGAAAGGAACAGGGAAACCAAATGAACAAGCAGTTTTGCTCGTTCGAGATCTGGCAGGTCAGGGATCATGTGTGGAATTCAGGGATGTCTTTAGGGATGTAGGAATAAACTCGAACATGTGCATCTGGAAGCTCGAACATTTGTAGGGAGACTGGGGCTTGGGGTTGAGACGCTAAACCCTAGATCCAAAACCACTGTTTGTCATTTTTGTCTAGGATTTGGCGTCTAAACCCTAAAAGACTGGGACTTAGGACTTGGATTTGGGGCCTAAGTCCTAAAGACTAGGATTTAGGACTAGGATCTGGGACTAGGATTTAGGACTAGGATTTGCGACTAGGATTTGAGACTAGGATTTAGGACTAGGGTTTGCGACTAGGATTTGGGACTAGCATTTGGGACTAGCATTTGGGACTAGGATTTAGGACAAGGATTTGAGACTAGGATTTGGGAGTAGGATTTAGGACTAGGAACACCCAGGATCGGTCTGGGCTTGTGGCTTGCTGGTCATCAGTACTCGGTTTTGTGTCATACCTTTTGGCCCCACGGATCTCCTTGCATGTGCTCTCTAGCTTCTCTGCGGCCAGAATAAAATGTGGCAGTTTCCATAAGTAGAGAGAACTCCAATATAGATCCCCAAATACTATGGTCCTCATTATAGGAACGCCCAAAGAGGTACCCCTAACTTTAGGAGACCCTCATATAATCCTTGTTATAGTCATGTACAGGGGATTGTTGAAGGGCTCACAGTCTCCTAGCTAGCAGCAGGGCTTCCAACCATGCTGTCCCCCATGGTCCCCTTAATTTGGATCGGTCTCCTAATTCTCCTACACTGTACACTTGCAGCCGTTTTCATTTGAGAAGTGTAACCAGGAATCGTCGCGAAAGTTTTATAGTTTTTTTGGCACAGGTTGAAGTCCTGGCTACAGGGTCCAGGTTCCAGGACGGACCAAGGTTTGAGACAAAGTTCTGCAGAAGGTCCTGCAGATGGTGTTCGCGATGTAAACCCAGCCCCAGCTGCAAACCCTGAACCTGTTAACTTGACCCGCAAACCCATCTGTCAAAAGCGTTAAACCGCAACCCTGAGCGTTGAGACCTGAATTTCAAACTCCAAAATCTGGACCCCAGCACGGGTTACCCAAGCTGAAAACCCAAGAAGGACAGCGCATGGCCACTGCAACGATCGGTGACCGAGGACCCAGCCCCCCGACAACAGCTCCTGCTTTTGACTGTGGAGTTTCAGCGGTTTAGGGGGCAAATCGATGGCTTGAAGGGTTCCGGGCTGTCGTAGCCTGAGAGGCTGTTCAACCGGTTGAAGAAGAGCACATATTTTAGGGCGGATGGTAATCCCTAAATCCCAAGAAACCCAAACCATACATCCCAAACCCTAGACCCTCAAACCTACCCAAACAAACCCCAAACCTTAAATCCCAAACCCTAGACCCTCAACCCTACCCAATCCCACAATCCTGAGCGGGTGAGATTTCCAATCAGGTTGGCGCGGTTCGCGCCACGGCACTGCACTCCCTGCTTCGGCTTCTTACGTCGGGGGTGTTGGTGGAGGTGCCATGCTTCAGGGTTTAGGGTTTGGGATTTAGGGCTTAGGGTTGGTGATTTTTGGTTCAGGGTTTGCGATCTAGGGTTTAGGGCTTGAGATTTAGGGTTTAGGGTTTGGGGGTTGGATTATTTTTGGGTCAGGGTTTTGGTACGGAATGTTTGGATGTGGAGGTTCAAGTGTTTAGGGTTGGAGACTTAGGCGCTGCAGCTTCCCCCACTCTAAACTGTAGATGATTTGTGGCTTGAGCTTAGGCCTTTGTGGAGATTTGCAGGGAATGCATAGATCATCAGGACTTGGGTAGCTCACAAGAAATCCGAAGCTGCTGCAAGCTTCCTTAACTTGGGCAAAGATATGCCCTCAGCAATATGATTTGCATTCCCTTACTCCCCAAGCGCTCAACAAACAGTAACCCTACAAGCCAAAACCCAGCATGTGTTTGCTTGGCTTTGGAGGTTGCTGTCTTGGAAGCGCTTAGAAAAACTGCGCTAGCAGTGAAACCCAGCGACCCCGATCGACGCTAGGCTGCACAAGAGGCCAGCTTCGGATGTGAGGGTTACGGGCTTGTGCGAGAACAGGCTGTAGGCGCTCTGCAAGTTCCGGGGTTTTGTGGTGTTTTGGGATTCCCTCTTAAAAAATCACCCTATTGTGAACATATTCCAGGGCTGCTAGAAATGTTAGTTGCCATTGACCCGCGGGACCTGAGAAGGGAGGACACTTCGATTCTTCGTGGCGATCCGATGGGAGAACCTACACTCCCAGATAGGTGCCGGGTGTGTTGCCTCTATACTTCCTTCAAGAATCCCATGTCCCCTTGCAAGCTAAGCCCTGTAACAACAAACAAGGCCCTACCCACACCTTATCTACACCTTGCTGAGCTGCCACAGGACTTTGGAGGATCTTGTTGAAGCTTCTAAAGCCATGTTATGAGAGTGTCTGGCTTCCTGCTAGAACCCCCCCTTTTTTTGAAGTTAATTGCAACATGAGCCGCATCAATTGGCATACGCTGTATTTGGTGCAGGAGTCCTGAGGACGTGAAAGTCAAACTGAAGCGCAAGACTAGAACAAAAAAAAGTCATCACCTCAAATAGGATGTTAGTCTCCTATGCTTTTTGAAGCCACAGAGGCTATGTCCGCGCTTATGCCGCAGAGCTCTGCCACAGGCTCGACTTAAACAAGTACTCGTAAGGTGCAATTGCTTTGATATTCAGGTGGCTCGAAGAATTCACCGTAAATTGAAGCTGCGAGATTTCCGCGCAGAGTTGTTGTGGGACTTTGTGTTTTGAGCTAGTCGTTGTTTTAGAGAGCCCCGGTATGCTGTAGGGGCGAATGTTGGGAGTATGCGTGCTTGATTTCCTGGCGGAAGCTCGAAGCACTAGGTCTAGGCATCGAATCGACATGGACTGTGACATAATTCTAAGCAACGGGGGGAGAGATGCGGACTAAAAACACTTCCCATGGGACGTCGTAGAGGCATTAAGCGGGCGCCCTGGTTTAAGCTATGCGCAAGAGGGTTGAGTTTTCAATGAAAAGAGTTCAGGGCAAGCTGTCCCTACCTGGAGATTTGACATCTTTCCCTGGTTACATGAGGGCATGTGAAGGGGACCCGCATTTTTTGGAAGCTAGCATTCTTTGCAGCTGCAGACTGGGTACCCTAGCGCGAGGCAGATTGATTGTTGCGGGTCCGGGCTCGCACAAGTTCTTGCAGGCTATAGCTGAAAACTTGGATTCAGCCTTCCACGCCCCATGCACTCAGCCGAGGTGCTTGGGCCTCTTTGTCGGTATCATTGCAACTGAAAATTCACATCTCCCTGACTTGCTGAAGTTCTCGCCCGGGCAGCCTTGCGATGGTAGCATCACCCGCCTAAATCTGGAGCAAACTGGTTTGCTGCTAAGGAACTTAAATTGAGTTAACATGGTATGGGTACATAGTAAAGAATAGTAGGGTGTCCTTATCATAGTGACTAAGTTTGACATTAAACCCATTAATGTAATTCAACTTAAGTTCCTTAACAAGAGCCTAGTAAAAGCACTTGCGTCAGAGCTTCGGCTTCTTAGCAATTCAGGGCTATAGTCCCCCTTAAGTAGATGAAATATTGGGTATATGGGGGTCTTATTATAATCTACCCAGAGCCATATTCGATATACTTAAGGGGGACTATAGTCGATCCCCCACCCCTTGACCGGGTTTAGAATTTAGGGGCTCAGGCTTGAAACTCCTCATTTGCCCCTTCATTGATCCACATGAGCTACAGTCTAAACTCCTGAAAGAGGGGTTACATAAAGGATTATATAGGGGACTACTCTAGGGGGATACTAGGAGTTTAGAATATCTCTCATATGGCCTCAGACCCCTTCCTTCTCCCCTCGTAGATCTCTTTTTGCCCAAGCCTTGGACCCCAAAGTCCCTTTCTGAACAGCATGGTGAGCAGGATTGACATTGTACAGCAGCTCCTCTGGGAACTCCCAGGACAGCAGATGTTACGCCCTGGGTTTAGGGTTTAGGGTTTCCCTTATTCTGTTGTAGTATGACAGTGTATGATACTACACTGTACAAGACTGCATTAGGCTATATTTGAGTACGTTACTGCCTTATGGTACGTAATATTATATGCCCTTTAGAAGGCCCCTAGGTATCCCAATAGTACCCCTTTTCCTGATTTGGGGGTCTCCTTATGAAAGCAGAACATACGAACAAGGGTACCCTTTACTATTTCGAGAATCTAGTATAAGGTCCCGAGCCTAGGCTTCTACTTGCTTCCTGGCTCCTCAGTCTGGGCCCTTTCACTGGGTTCGTGAGCTCTTATAGGCTATGAAGGGGATCTCTGGCTAACGATGGTTCCGCCTGAGCCTGAAAACCCAAACTCTGAATCCAATATCCTCACCTTCCCCCCGCTCCCCAACCCTAAGCCCTTGTCCTCGTGGAACCAAGCTTCAGCCACATGGGTGGTTGTCAAAATTATGGTGTCTTTTTTAGGGTACCCAAAAAGGGATCATAATTTTGACAACCACCCACATAGTGGTCATGAGCCTGGAGCCAGGAGCAACAACAGCCTCCCTGGCAAAGAGCATCCAGGAAGCCTACATGCCACCGTGCCTTGTCGGTGTGGTAGCAGCCCTTTAGGTGCTCTTGGCGTCTAGAAATCTAGGGAGTTCAGAACGTAGGACTTTGCCACTGCAGGGCGTTGGGATCAAAAGGGGTTTCGAGATTTTAGGTAGAAGTGGATTAAGGATCGAGGGGGCCCGACGGCATGAAACTGAGAGGCGCAATGACCTTGATGGGGCTGGCAAACCTGCTGTCAACAGTGGCAACTCGTGAGTGAGGAACTCTGGGACTAGGATTTGGGGTTAGTGACCGATCGTGCGGTTCTGGGCTTAGGAAGCAGGGCGCAGGAACAAGGCCCCAGCCTCGCCGGCTTGATTCCTGTACTTGGTTGAGCGTAAGGCTCATCTAGATCTGTTTTTGACCCCGTAATAAAACTATAACACCAAACTCTTGACCCCCCATCCCTCACCCCCAGATTTTTTTTTAGGGGATCGGGTTATTTTTGATGGTAATCTACAGAGGTTGTGCCAGGCATACGTGAATTCGCTGGTGTATTTTTTGGTGTGTGTTTAGTGAAAATAGGCCCTTTAAGGAAAATCTCAGAAAAGGATTTTATCAACAAGTTCTCGGTGCTTATTAAATATTCTTTGGGCTTTCAAAACTTGTTCGCTCAGTGCTTTTCATGTCTCAATCTTGGGTAGGAAACAATTTGCAAAGCCTCTTTAAAGTGCTTTTGCCAGGGAGGGGGTCCAGAATTCACTGGTAAAGTAATAGTGGCACGCTACGAACATAGAAGTACCGTGCTTCATGAATTCCACTATTCCCTGTGGTAGTGACCACCTTGCCTAAACCCCCAACCATTCGCCAGACATCCGAAAACTTAAACCCAAGCCTCAAAGACTAAGCCGCAAGGCTTGTCCGCTGGTGCACCTGTGGTGATGGCTGGCATGCGTAGACTCCGCGCCAGGACCAGGAACTGTAGGGATTACGGGTTTAGGGTTTTAGGGCTCAGGGTTTAGGTTTCCAGAAATTAGCGGTACCTGTGTGGGGGGGTCCCTATAATTTACAGTATATTGGGATCTATACTAGGGCCCCCTCTTTTTTTGGAAGCTTGCATGTGGGAGTTTTATTAGGCAAAAGGTTCCGGGAGTCAAGCCTATGATCTTGAAGTACTTACTGGGGAATTCGTATGGAATATGAATATACCATATGGAAACTACATAGGGACTACATTCCCTCATACCCTGCTAGCCCTCAGTAAGAGTAATTGTGTGCTGGTTGCCCACACTTGGCAACAAGACCCTTCAACCCTTGACCTGTCCCGAGGACATTTGGAGGGTCCATTGCCGCCGGCGACGGCGGGCATGATGTACAGAGACCCTGACAGGAACACAGCCAATGAAAACAAGTCGAGGGTTTAGGTTGCGGCAGATGGCACTTGCTTTTAGCTAGGCAAGAAGTGCGTTTACAAAAGTACCCTGACCCTCACACCGACCTTAAATCTCGTTCACAACTACTCAAAGGACCTTCACCCACTTGATGCCTCAAGCGCCCCTTGTACCAAAGCACTTCCCAGCTCCCGGTAATGCTCCTGATTCCGAACCCAGAAGGAACCAGCCAATAGATACTAGCCATCTTTTATACAGGTTTAGTAGTATGTGCCCAGAAGTGCTATTCTATCTATTTATGTCCTTGCAGTACAAGAGCCAGAGCCATTCGCTCAATCATCCACCCAAGGGAGCTTTGCAATAGCCCTCCTGACATGATCCCTAAGATCGGGCCCATACTTCCTTCACAGTCTGTGTACCATCACATAGTATCATTGAGGCCCAACTCCAGACATTCCTTCATGCCCCTGCCCAGCACTCCCTGTAAGGATCAAGCAAGGGCTTAAGAGGAATATCAAGCCCAAAACCCTAAGCAGGAAACAATTTTGCCTTAATGCCAAACGCTACATTCCCTAGATCTTGGGTACTGCCCCCACCCAGTAAAAGTGTATATTGGGGGTCCTTTTTCGGGCTCTATCTAACCATTTTACATTGGTATCCAACTGTTACTGAGGGGGGTGGGAGTACCCAATCTAGATCCCTTAAACTGGTTGGGTCCCTCTGAGGTGGTGCGCTGTGGCAGCATCGAATGAGCTTCCCGAAAGTGACGAGCTCGAGGCCCCTAACAAATTCAGAGCTTAAGGTTCAGGAGTAGGGGATCTTTCCATGGAGAAACGCGGTTCTTACTTTCGCTTGAAACCACATACTACGTCACGACGGCGTGTGTAAGAGTACCTGGGTGTTGAACACCGCTGCCCGCATGACTTGGCCCTATGCGTCCGACACGGGGCAAAGTCGCATCTCTTGGTAAGAGAGCACGCTTTGTCGCGAAAGACCGGGTTTTGCCGCAGGCATTTTCCAGCCAACCCCTCAGACCAAAATTAGTCGAGGAAAGACGGCCTGAGGTCGAGGAAAGTCAGGGAAAGACCGGGATTTGTCAAAGTTGAGCAACAGGCGTAGTTGAGGCTAAGGGCAACAAAAACGAAATCTCAAATGCAAGTCTAGAAAATCATAGACGGCTTGTCGAAGTGAAGCTTTTTGAAATTCCAGGGTTGCGTCATCCTTCACCGCCAGGCGGGCCCAAAGGAAGCTACACTTTATAGACTGTAAGGACCCAGGTAGCTGTAATTAGAGATATTTATGTACATATTTACATATATATATATATCCGAGAGGATACAGGCAGCCTAGCTTTTCCAGACTTTCTGGACCATGGTAGATATCGTGTACAGGCTTACTTACTCTCTATAGGGTTACATGTAGCCCAACTGTTAGCATTGCTGTGCATGAGGCGCTCTTCGATCGTTTCCTGCTTCGCGCGAGCCTTAACAAAGAATTTGTCGGGACCTTAAACCCTAAACCCGACTCTGGTCTCTCTTGGAGCACCTAAAGACTTGCTGGACTTAAGCGAGGGGCTGGGGCAGAAAATGCAGCTACCATTGCCTTAGGGGTCCAAAGCCCCGAATTTTTAGGGCTTTAGGTCCCAAATACTATTCAGCTTATAGTATTTGGGCCCTTAAAACCCCCAATTCTTTGAGTCCTTGGACCCTCATAGTCCCCCTTACGTAGATAGAATATGGCTTTGGGTACATTATAGTAAGATCCAAGGGTTCTGGCTGATGCATGGGATTTTTGAAGGAATTCAAATTCTGTTACTATGATAAGGAAGCCCTACTGTTTACTACATACCCATAGTATGGTAACTTACTTTAAGGCCCTTAACAGCAACCCAGTTTAAAGCTTAAAGGTGTCAAGGCTTGAGCCAATCGCCAGGCTTGAGCCGCCTTCTCTTTGAAATATGCAGCTAAACCAAAGCAGGAGTCTCAAGGTAGCAGCCACACTACGCTTCAGAATCATTTGGCAGAGCTGGCTCCTCAACCCTAAGCCCTAAACCCTAAACCCTAAGCCCTAAATAGCCAGATCTGGGTCAGTATCTAAGCATCAACTATCCTTTCATTCAGATGTCGAAGTCCATGGTAGAAACAGCAAAGCACATCAAGGTTGAATGCCATACACGGTTCAATCACAGGGTGCCAAGCCTCAAGCTGTGCATGTAATTCCGTCCGTATGAACTGTAGTCTAAACTCTCTAAAGGCGGTTTTTTAGGGGAGTATATAGGGGTGTATGATAGTGGTTAAGAAGGGGATACTAGGAGTTCAGACTATAGCTCCTAAATGCACGAAATCACCATCTTGAAGCCACTGCATTGGAGCTTGCCTGCGTTCCCGGGATAATGCATATGCGAACGCATCATAGTAGGAGCCAGGCGCTAGCATAGGCTTGCTTAAAGGAATTAGGGTTTAAGGTTTAGGGCTGCCCTCACCCCATTCTATGGTTTCTCCAGAACATAGTGCCACATATTGGCCTTATGTCCAGCTTTTGAAAATACTCAACTTTAGCCAGGGTGTTTCGTGATAGCCCAAAGTTGATCCACAAAGAAGGAACTAGCTTTCAGAACAGCTCGTTCCCGCCCTCATTTAAGTTATAGCCTAAACTCTTTACAGGGGCTTATATAGGGGAGTATGATGGGGGTAAAAGGGATACACCCTAAACCCGAAAACCAGTACAGACAATGGCTCATCTCAGTAGATTAGGAGCCAAAGCTGGTGTAGCTCATGGCATGTCCATAGCCGTGCGCCTTTATCCTTAAATCAAATGTCAAAATGCTTTGGATGCCCCTGCATAGACCATACCCCTGAAAGCAGGCCCATGTATTCTCCCAATAACCCTGACATCTTTGTATAGTCCCCCTCAAACAGATAGAATATGGGGTATACGGGGATCTTAGTATAATATACCCAAAGCCATATCCTATCTACTTAAGGGGGACTATGCATCTTTGTAGGGTCCCTACGGGGTTCCCTACTTCGGGGACACCGCTGCATATAGGTCGAGCTGTCCCGCGAGCCAGCAACTTAGATTGCTGCAGGAAGACATGGGTGTTTCGCAAAATTGGGGGTACCCTTCTGGGCCGAGAAAGGGTTATAGCGGATATATAAGGATAGTTATATAGGGATTGTATAGGAACATATATGGTTCCCAAAATTAGGGATACCTCTCGAAAGGCCCCTGGAATAAGGATTATGTATAGTATTTTGGGGTCTATATTGGGGTCACCCTAACCACATGTCTGGGAGTGTTGTAAACGAGGGGTCCATTTAAGGAGTCCCTCTAATTGGCACTTCTGCCGGGGTCCTAAACCCTAAACCCTTCCAATTTCTGGGAACCCTAAACCCTAAACCCTAAGCCCTAAACCCTAAACCCAGGCCTCCGGAAGCGCAACCTTTCCGCGGGCTTGGTGTACTGTAAGGGCTTAGGGTTTAGGCTTTGAGGCTTTGAGGCTGCGAGTTCTGGGTTTAGGGGTCAGGGTTCTGACATAACTGTAAACCCCAAACCCAACATAATGTAAACTCTTTGCTTCTTCCGTCCTGAAGAAGCCCAGTCTAGGCCTTCTAGCGGCTTCCACGCAAAAAAAGTCAAACCTCCAGCCTCAGGCCTGTGAACCCTAATTTGGGATATGGGGGTTTCTCCAAAAGTTGGGTTACCATTTTGTGGGGTCCTAGTATAAAGGCTATAGTATTTTGTAGCCTATATTGGGTTCCCCTTTTTTTTTGGAAGCTACCACTTGAATTTCTGTTACCCTTAATCCCTACATCTACATCATCCCTAGAGCCCGCAAAAATGAACTCTTACTTAGGGCCTCCAAACCTACAGTCCCCCTCAGCAGATAGAATTTGGGTTATATGGGGATCTTACTACTGTATAATTTACCCAAAACCATATTCTATCCACTCAAGGAAGACTATAACCCAGTAAATCCTCGATCGTAAGCCCTGTCTTCATCCCGAGTCCGCCAAACCCGTGCTGTTTGTTGCAGCCTGACACAGCTTATCTCAAATCCCGGACCGCGAAACGTTGTCGCCCTGAACTGTCAGCCCTACCTGCCCGAAGCTTCTGATTGGTAGTCAATGAACCGTGCGCAGTGAGGCAGGTGGGAGACAACTCCGACGAATTTACATCTGACCCTGAGTCATTCATAGACAGCTAGAATAATTCAAAGGTTCCGAGAAAGCATGGCAACATCCCAGCAAGAGACAAATCTAGCTATCTATAAATATTTAGTAACTGGCATAATATAGTAATAGTAATTGTAATTGTAATAGTAATAGCTTAATAGCAATAATAACACTAGCAATAATGACAGCCCCGAACCCAGAGGTGTCCGATGCACAAGTCCCCTACTTCCTCCGCTGCTCTTTGGATGCCAACGCAGCAGCTTATGAGGCTCCCGAAATGCGGTTTAGGGTTTAGGCTTTAGGGTTTAGAGTTTAAGTTTCAAGGTTAGGGGAGTAGTATTCAGGGCTCAGGGTTCAACGCTTAGGGGCGTTCAAATTCTAAACAGATTATG